AATATTATCCATGACTGCATTAAGTGCTTAACAAGCTCTGTAATTGAGAATAACGCAATGTCATAACAATGTGATATTACATTAATAGATTCATAGACACAAACTTCCTCATAAATTTCAGTGGTGCAATAAGTTTCTACAGGTTTCCTACCATACTAGATCCACTTTTTTGAGGCTTTCACCTCTGCATTGAAATACAGCAACTAATGAACAATGAAGTGTCATGTGGTGTAAGTTTAGGGAGTAGTATCTGTAGCAAAGCACAGCTGAAGAGGAATTTTAGTACACAAAATTTGTAGCCATTTGTTCCACCTTTGAAACCACTTCATACAGAACTTCCATAAGAGATTTTGCATTCAAGTTCACATCCAGAGCTTCTTTAATTTAACATTTGCCATCATGATAGTGCAGAGTTATGTTGTAGTTGCAAGATAAATGTATTTTTTTTAGCCACCAAATTGTATCAGAGTTTATTCTAAAAAGTATGGCATTCATGAATAGGAAAAATACTATCATAACAAAAACTGTATCACAAAATTCAGTTCCCAGGACCCTCTCCTAAACTGTGAGGTGCTTGAGAAAAAAAAAAAAATCTATTTCTATTTAAATGGTGAAGGGGCATCAAAACTCCCAAATGTTTGCATAAGATGTTGTGATTAAACATGGAAAAGAGAAAACTGCATTGATAACAATGAAGACGTGAGACTAAATATGAAGGGCTTTCATGGCCTCAGAATGTGTTTGCATAAAAATGCTCTGGTTAAATTTGCAGAAGGACATTTTAATCTCCTTCTAAGTTACATCAAATTAATTAGAGGTTGTGGAAGCAGTAGGTACTTAAAAATTATATAACTTTACTGAGAATTCTTCTTTCTGAAGTATTGTTCCCACCCTTCTAGAATGCTGGTTGCTATAAAAGCCAGTAATTTTCATTATTAATTCAATTTATTTGTCCGTGATTTAATCTCAAAAAATTGATTAAAAAATAAGGGGAGCAAGATCTGTTAGGATGTTTTTTTTTTAAGCATGCTCAAATCACCCTCTGTTCTACAGGGCAGCAGTGTTCAACTCAGGGAGGTAAATCCTCAACAATGTTAGCTGCTTGTTATTCCAGAGAAATCCCCTGCCTTATCTATTTCCATAATAATTCATGTTTTACCAAACTGGCTTCAGTGGGATCTGTAAGACACTAAAGCATGCTTTCTACCCTACATATAACTGGCAAAGCTTTACTTAATGTATCTGCTTCAGCAGTACACTTCAGGAAACATGGGCCAGGTGAAGGGAGACCAAAGAAAAAAGAGAGTGACTGGCAATTAGGAAACATGACCTAAAAAAAAACCCTGCAAAAACATGTGTTGTTTGAAGGAGGAAAAGAATTCTGAGGAGTGAAAAAAATAAGAATTTTTTAATATTTAGTGTATTGATATAAAAAATGAAAAAATCTGATTGCTATGTCCAGCATGCAAACAATGAATATGCTGCAACAGCAGAAACTGACATTTAAAGTAAATGTTGTTGTTTTTTTCCCTTATGATAAAGTAATTCAGTATTTTAAACAAACTGGTATGATGATAGCACAACCTTAACTGTGTTTAAAAAATTACATGCCAAAAATTATATATTTATAACTAATCTTGCCTTTGGGCCATGGAATGAGACTACTTGACCTCTTATGACTCTCTGTTGACCTTTTATTTTCTTTTGATTCTTGGCTATGAAGTTATCTACAATAAACTTAACTCCTTCTGTAAAGGCTCCAAGATCAGGCCCTAAATCTGTCATGGTGTTGATAATCATGATGATCAGAAGTGTAACACTTGTAAAACTGGAATGTGACATCCCTTACCTCACAAAATGTCAGTGAGAATCCCTTTAAGAATGACCCTGTGATATGATCCTGACAAATCCCAGCTGTATCTGAAATGGAAAGGTTATTTGACAGTGAGCTTTATTTTAGTGTGGTGACTTCCGGCTGTCTGTAACAAAAATATAGTGAATGATATAGTCAAAACACTCTAATCTCCTACGAGGCCAAAACCAGTCATATTTCATTTACTATCACTTGTTTCAGATAATCTTTAGTTTATTACTTAACGGTTCTTGAATGCTGAAATTCATAAATCATGATAAGGTCAGCTGCATTCTCTTAAGTATACAAATAATCTGTAAAATGTAGGTTTTTTTAGACTATCCATGCCCAGAGAGAAAATCACCTTTGACTAAATTATTTTTATTTTAGTACTAACTCTGTCTGAATGTACATAGTGTACATGTACCTCTTCTTACAAGTTGTCTGAGCCTAGATTGGCAGCTGAACTTTGCGCATAGAAAAAAATGATGTATTTTGAGAACAAAAAAGACATCACAGCATTCTAGATAGCACAATAGGGTTGGGTTTTTTCCATGTTCCTCAGTCTTTCTTCCGTTTCCCCAAGCTTTCTTCTGTTCTCCCCAGTCTTACACTAGCATTCATTTTGATTGAAAAATGGTTTTAGAAGTAGGATAAAAAAATTACAGTGGCTTTGGATTGAAAAAATTAATAAAAACTTATGGATCTGGTTACCTCCACTGAACCATTGCTTTGTGCTGCACAGGTGTTATCAGGAACTGGTCTTGTGTAACTAAGAACTGCTTCAGAGAGGGACAAAACCTTCCTGCTGCTTTAGCCTGTTCTTATGTTACTGGCACAGCCTCAGTGCAGGAGATGGAGCAGGACCAATTCTTTCTCTCCAGCGACCCTGATTTCTTTGCGGTTATTACTGGCCACAGTTCCTTATAAACTGAGACTGGGGTAAAAGCTGTGAATCAAGTACCTGTCATGCCATAGTCCCTTGACAGCATTCAGATGACAGAATTCTCTGCCTCTTATTTCTCTTATTTCTAGAGGCTGCAGATTACGTCACTAAATCAGCAAAGACTGACTTCCTAGGTAGCATTGATTCCCTTGCAATTCAAGAACCTCCCCCCAGTTTCCTCATCACTGCATATACCTTTCTTCTTACCCCTGAGGCTACTGTTACCTGCTCCCTGCAGGAACAGCCCTGTAGAGGGGAGATTCCTTCTATCATTTGCAGCCTGCTAGGCCTTAGAGTTCCTCAAATAATTTTTTCCTGAATGGGCTCCTTACACGGTTCTTCTTGTAGTCACTTGTGTGAAAATAAAAAAAGAACCAAACAAAACCGGGCCAGAGATGCTGAAACACTGTCGAAGGAGAATTGGGTGTGCAAATGGTGGGAACAGGGCTATATGTCTGGGGTTTACATCTTTCCCATCATGAGTTTCTGGAACTGATTTTGGCTTATTCTTGTTCTAGCTAACCATCTTTCTAGAATACATTTCTACTTATAACATAGAACTGCTCAGAAGGGAAGTATGAGTCCAAATCTTTGCAAAGAAATAATATTTACTGTTCGGTCTTCCCACCACACTTACTGTTGTTTATGACTCTGACAGTGACACACAGTGCCCTGTTACATTCTTAGTGGGCTAGAAACTAAATATATGCATGAAAAATACTGTTCCTAGCTCTAGGAATTTGCAGTTTAAAACATGTTACGGCAAGATAAAGCAAGAGCTGTAGACATATTTTTCCATCTCTACTGAAATTTTACTTGTTTAGAAAGTGAATGTTTATTGTCTGCAAACCACATAGAATAAAATAAATGTAATACAAATGACAATGAAAAGGAATTTTCTCTCCTAAATGGTTCTATAGAATTTTTCTTCCTAAAGTACTGAAGCAAAAAATACATCTGTAACCATGGAGATTATACCAGGCAACACGCATAATAATTCAAACTGTGGCATCACACAAATGTTCTTTGTCATGAGTGAATTACTACAAAGAAGTAGGTTTCCCCTTAACAATTTTCAGAAGCGGGATAGATGTGGTTCATTTCTCAACCCTCCTCTTTGCAAGGGGGAAGGGGAAGTGTCAGCACTGTGGCGAGTGCAGTGGAGTAGTATTTTGTTCAGTTTGAAAAGACCCAGCTTCCCAGGTTCCTGGGAGTTTTGAATCAGATATGATTTGCTGAAAATATTTATCTTCTGTGAATAGTCACATCAGAGCAATGAATCCCACCACACTGCCCTCATGGCACAAAAGATATCCATGGTGAAATATAGTTAAGGATAAATAGTAAACAGTTCTAATTAATTTTTACTTTTTTTTGTTGTTGTTGTTGGTTTGGTTTTAAGACTACATACAAATGTACAAAATCTGTATTAAAACCATTTATGCTTAATCCTGGAAATACCAAGATTTGGCTAATTTCAGTGTCAGCTATAAAACAGCATTCCTTCACATTTGGCAATATTTCTTTCTCTGCTTATTCCTTCTCTGAATGGATGGTATCAAAGAGCAAAGAGCTCTCAGTCTGCCAGTTTCTAATGCAGGATGAATATTGATGTGGTTCTTAGTCTGATACAATCTATAAGGCAGAGGGGGAAAATTGCTGCAATCAGGACCTTTCATAATTCATTAATTTCATAATTTCACTTTTTCACCTAAGGGGTTAATTAAAATCTGGTGGTTTGCAGTTGTTTGAGTTAGGAGGAGAAACTGATGATGATGCAAGGATGATGTAAATCCTGTTAACTTACAAACAATGTTGAAAATGTTGTTTCCTCAAGACAGGAGAAATTAAGATATGTCCTTTTTATGCAGTCCTGAAGTCCTCAGTTGTTTCTTAGAGCCACACACCTACTTTTTTTTCCTGCCTCTGTAACTTCTTTTTTCCAGTTCCTGGCATTTTTTGCCAACCCTGAAATTATACATTATGGCAAACGTCTTTCCAATTCCTCCTCCATCTTATTTTGCTTTGGTAATAGGCCACTGTTTCACCTATCACTTCTATAAAGCTGGACTTTTTTTTTCTTTGCATTTATTTTAAGTGACAGGCTTTTTTTATGCTCTCCAACTTGGAAATGCAATTTCATCCAGCCACCAATGGATAGAGGTTGAATGTAATTAAATTCTTTCCCTTTCTTTTCTGTAGGAGGCTACAAAGAGGCCCAGTGTGAAAGCAGGCGTTAACACAGTTACTTAACACATTACTTCTGTCCCAGAGGAGCCGAACCCTGCAGAGATCAGTGGTAATCGTCATTTCCATCATTGCTCAAGATGGGTGTTTTCATGCAAAGAATGTTTTTCTAGAAGGAATAATTTTACCCAATACATTCATTCTTAAATTTAGTGTGTGGAATTCAAATAGGTCAACATTTATATATAGAAAAATTAATCAAATTAAAGCAATGTGAAAGGTACGTTTTACTTTGTGACTTGCCAGACAGAGGTGCCTGACCGTGTGATGAGCAGCATTAGGATTGGCTAGAGAGATTTTAGATTTGGGAACTGATAAAGATTTGAAAAAATAAGCATAGTAAATCAGAAATAGCCATTATTTTCTTTCCCTGAGAAGTGAAAACTGCTCTGTGCAGCACACATGTGACATTATTGCAGCACAATGATTTAATAAAGCACTCAGCACTCCCAACCCTTATGAGGCAAATCAGGGACACTTCCATTCCTTTGCCTTCTGACTTTAATTTCTGCATTCCTTGCTAGAATTTGCACTACAATGTATGGTGCCTTTAAGACAGAGCCCTTCCTAACTTCTTTTCTTCCCCCTGTACTTGGCACTGGTGAGGCCACACCTCAAATTATGCGTCCAGTTCTGGGCTCCTCAATTCTGGAAGGATGCTGAGGTTCTGGAGCATGTCCGGAGAAGGGAACAGAGCTGTTGTAGGGTCTGGAGCACAGGTCCTATGAGGAGTGACTGATGGAACTGGGGTCATTTATCCTGGAGAGGAGGAGGCTCAGGAGAGACCTTATCACTCTCTACAACCACCTCTCTACAATCACCTACAACCAGGTTGTAGGTGAGGATCAGTCTCTTTTCCCAGGCAACCAGCCATAGGAGGAGAGGACATGGTCTTAGCTGCAGGAGGGAAGGTTTAGGTTGAGCATTAGGAGGAATTTCTTCACAGAAAGGGGTGATTAGACATTGGAATGGGCTGCCCAGGGAGGCGGTGGAGTCACTGTCCCTGGAGGTGTTTAAGGAATGGCTGGACGTGGTGCTTGGTGTCGTGGTCTAGTCGACATGGTAGTGTTCGGTCACAGGTTGGACTCGATGATCTCAGAGGTCTCTTTCCAAAATGACTGATTCTGTGATTCCGTGCTTCTTTTGGGTCAAACCGAGGCAAGCAGTGCTCGGGGAGAACGGGCAGAGGCAGCAGTGCAGTGAAGGGACCCTGCCCGCCGCTCCGGCCGCTCCTGAGGCGAGCCCGGCCCCCCAACTCCTCTCAGGGCTCGACGCTCCTGCCCGCCCCGGCCTGCCTCCCCGGCCCTGCCCCCCGCGCTCCCCGCAGCCGATTGGTCCGCGCAGCTCCACGTGACCGCGGGGCGGGCGTGCGCGCGCTCGCGGGGAGCCAGGCTCGGCGGGAGCGGCGCCGGCGAGGGCGGAAGTGCGGGGCGGGGGCGCGCGGGCGGCGGCGGCGGCGGCGCCCCCTCAATGAGAGCCGGGGGGCGGCGGCGGCAGCAGCGGGCACAGCCGGGCCGGGGGGCACAGCCGGGCCGGGGGGCACAGCCGGGCCGGGGGCACAGCGGCCGGGCGCCGGCGGGGGCGCAGCCGGACCGCCAGCCGCGCCGGAGCCCTCAGGTGAGAGCGAGGAGCAACCCCGGGATCCCCCCCAGTACCAGCCCCGGGCGTGTGGGAGGGGGCTCGGCCGTTCCGTCCCCGCGCCCCCGGTGAGGGGAGGCGGGAGCCGCCGGGTCCTGGCGCTGCCCGGGGACGGGCTGAGCGCCGCTGTGTCCGCGCTCTGCGGAGGGCGAGGCGAGGTGTCGCCGGGGGTGCGGGGCAGCCTCCCCCCGCGCGGGTTCTGCCCCGGGACGCGGCCCCTGGCCCGCGGGGGAGCCCCGGGGTGCGGGCGGGATTAGCGGCGGTGACCGCCGGGCCTGCGCGGGGCCGCAATGGGAGGCGGGAGGCCCCGCTCCTGCGGCTCCCGGTGCCGCCGGGCTGAGGTGGGGCCGGGGGACGGCGATGACTCGTATCTACAAGTGGCACTGGGGGAGGGAGAGGGCGAGGAGGAGCCGGCCTTGAGCCCCGGCTCTTCGGGCGGGTTCCTCCCGTGCCGCCTGCCCTGCCTTCCTTGGGCTGCCCGCGGATAAGTGATAACGTTTTGTCTGTGCGAGATAAACGGGGGTTTTGGGTGCTGTCGGTCTCCACCTAACCAGAAGTTCCTGAAGGATCTTGTTTTTTCTGAGCAGGTTCTCTCTGTGCCGGTCTTTATCCTCCCTGCAGCCTTGCGGGTGTAGATCTCGTAGGAAGGGAAGGGTGGTGCCTGAGTGTGACCTTACCTGGAGAAGGGCAGGGACAGAGGTGAGGCAAAGCAGCCCAGTCCTTCCTGAACAGCTGAGGGAGGCCTAACCCGGTTGCTCTGCTGGAGCCCTGTTGAATCGATTCTGATCTGAGGACAGGAGACTTAAGTCTTGAGTACCCCTGGGTATTTTCATGGTGGAAGGGAACAAGAGGACTATACCTGCACTAGGGTCAGCCTTGCATTTTTCAAAGCTGTAGCCTGCAGTTTAGGTAGCTTTTGTTTTTTGTTTTTTTGGGTTTTTTTTGAACTGTCCAAATGGTACTTCTGTAGTTCTGAGATCCTGGTTTCTCTTGTGAGGGACAAGGAAGTGCCTGTCTATTCAAGGGCCTCCTCAGAGGTGTGATTTTCAGGAAAAGCTGTCTTTTTTTAGATGCCTTAAACACCTTCCTCCCAATTGACGTTAAAGTGACAGTAGGAACTAACAACTGGGAACCAGACTTGTGTTTCTTGGAAGTGATTTGCCTGAAGGCTGAAAATGATTTTATTACAGAGAGTTGATCCTTGTGGGTCCCTTCCAACTCAGAATATTCTGTGATTCTGTAATTTAATAGTAACAGCTCAATTTTACTTGACAATAGCATCTTTACACTTATTCACATATAGGAGATTTTTTTAGAATAATTTTACCTACTGCTTCAGTCACTTCTGTACACTGAACTTAGGTTTGTGCTTACAATGAGATTATGTCAATTTACCATGGTGACGTTTTTTGCATTTATTTCCTGTATTAAATACTCCATTTAAGAAATAGAAAAACCTTCAGACTGCTCCTGTAAATCAGTTTCCTATAGTAGACTTTTGGTAGTAAATTGTTTTACACCTCTTTTGGAGTAGGCCAACTTGATACTGTTTTGCATGCCTGGAGAAAAGTGAAGCTGACCTATTTTCACTGGTGTTATGTATATGCTGCAGAGGAATTTGTAGTCTGAAGATTTAGCTGGAATGCTTTACAAAAACTCTAACTGAAAGCTTAATTTGACCAGACAATACCCTTTCTTGACCCTCCTTTAAAACTCTCAAACTTGTCTCTAATTGTCAGTACAATGGTACTGGAAATCTGGGTAGAAGAATAGTTGAGACATTTTGATCAAATCAAGTCAGTGATGACGGGACCCTTCCTAGAAAACTCGGATATGTACACTGGAATCTTGGGTGGTTTATAGTTCCTGTGATCTAATGCCTCTTTCGGGCTCTAAGTTTTTTCAGCAGCAGCTTAATTGATTGAGCACTACGGTTATTTGACCAAATGCTGAATAAAATAGCTTGTGTCTCTGGCAAGTGTTGGTGTCCAAACTTCATAAGGAACAAAACTGTCCTGTGAACAGAGCAGAAATGGCCATGTGATGCAGCAGAACAAGCTCTGGGATCACGATTTGGGAATCTGGTTCGTAGTTTGTTCTTGTCCTGTTGCTTTGTAAACTCTGTTCCCTATCCATGCAGTGGATAATTGTACTTTTATAATTTCTTATTGATTAGATTCAAACTCCATGTGACTGATTAAGTGAATCGCTTTCCTTTACACAATGAATTCTTGTGAATTAATAGCCTCTATTAGCAGGAGTACTGAAGGAGCCTGTTTCTCATGGCAGCTGTGCAGGCAGTAGGCACTCATGGGAATGCACGTGCAGAGTGGTGTCAAGACAAACAGTGCCTAAGGTCAGTAGGTGTCTTGTGCCTGTAGCAAACAGCTTGGGATGGGAGTAGTGGTCTCTGGGGTTTGAGTGAAAGGCAGTGGCTGGGGAGGCCACCGAAGAAGATAAACGTAGGTGCTTGCTGCTTTTTGCTCCCTGTGTGCCTGACTTCAAGTAACTTTTGCCTGATGGACTTACTGGTGCTGATCCTAATTATCAGCCAGGTTAGACAGCAACAGTGTTCTCAAACTCATTCTGTCTTGATTTGGAAGTGCTATCCTGTTGATGAAAACCTGCAGTTCTTTAGACTTTTTTTTTTCCTCTCCATCCATCTTCCACCCCCATGTCTCTGGTAACTGTTCTCACCACTGTCAAGCAGTGTGATAAGGTTCCATTGCTTGTTACCTGCTATTGTGTGAAGCAGCAAAGTCAGCAAACAATCTTGTCTGTTTTGCTCTCCTAGTGGTAATAATCAATTCTGTGGCTTTTGTTCTATGATACAGTTGATGCCTGTCCCTTGACAAGAGGCTAAAGAAGAGATATTTTAAAAACCCTTGTTGATATCTGCTAGAGAGCAGTCATTTTGTTGGTAGCTCTTCTAACCCATTAAACAGGACTAAACAACTTTCCTCAATGTCTGCCCCAGAAATATCAAGTTGTCTTGTTATTTAAGCAAGATGAGTGTGTATAACTCATGCTTTATCTCTTCATGTTCTTCCAAATACTGCTTTAATAGTAATGTTAGAGGATCTGTTTTGTCTCTTGAGATGTGCAAATGTGTTTTTCAAGACCTGTCAAAATGAAAGTCATGAAGTCATGTAATGTGAGAACGTTATTTAGGCTGATGTGTAAGTAGCTACTTGGATCTTTATGGTGACAAAGTGCTTGCTTAGAACAGTGACTTTGAACTGTTTTCTATGGGACCCTAAGTCCATAGCCCTCCTAGCTGAGGTGGTTGACAAAGGAATAATGTTTGATTACAGGACCATGAGTCTTAATGGAAATGCAGTCCTGACTAGGAATCTCTGCAGGATCACAAGTCAAAGACTGAAAAAAATTGTTCTGGGATTATAAGCATTTGTT